TGTTGTCTGTCTTACGTTTCAAACCTGATGTGCTTCTCTTTTTTGGTGATTACTTTGATGGGGGCCCTATTCTGTCTGACAATGAGTAAGCCATTTAATTTTATAGGTTTTGTATGAAAGTTTACACAGGCATTTATGCGGTTGAATCTCTATTAAATGTGAAAATGCAGCTAGACTGTTGCAACACACTCAATTTTGATACTGTTTATCTGAACTTTGTCTTCACAACGACGCATCCCATTGTTGAACAGATGGCAGGAATCCTTGAGCCGCCTTAAACATATCTTTGATCTGAATGTGCTCCAGAAAACTAAAAATATGAAAGTGTATTTCCTATCCGGAAATCATGACATTGGATATGAGGCTCTTTACTCCAAAACGCCAGAGGTATGTTAATGCATTATTCTCTAAATCTCATACTACTTGTCAGAATAAATCATTTTCGTTTTCCAGGTCGCTGGATTAAATTTAGATGCTTAACTTGTTCTGGTGATATATCTGATGCTACTTTCTTGGTAACGAGTGATCACAAGACAATTCGAGCTCAGAACCCTAATAGCTCGTCCATGAATGTTCATCTACATAGGCATATAAGAATTTGTTTTATTTATCTGTGTCAGTTTCTTCTTGAAGCAGTATCCATCTATGGGGTTTTCTGAACAAGTACTGATTAATCACTAATAATGCAATTTCTGACACTTCAATAATGCAACCCTCCCTCTGATCATCTCTCTGGCTTGTTATCTCTGCATCTACTTGTCTGCAGGTTATCAGGCGTTATGAGGAAGAATTTGGAGCACGAAACTATAAGTTTACACTTGGAAAAGTGGATTTTATTGCTATTGACTCACAGACATTAGATGGTAAAAGCCAGTGAACACGTATCTCCATATCATCTGTAATAGTATAGTATCACTTTACTGCAAAAATTTCTGGAACTCTAACAGGTGCCCAGATTATAATTTGGAGATACCCAAAAGGTAGATAATTTACTGTATTTCATAGTGATTGCCGTGATCTCCTTGGACAACTAGTTAATCATTTTTCCTTGTATATTCATTCTTTGCCAGGCAAATCAAGGTGCAATTTTATGTTTTATGCAGTCCAAGTTTACATGAAAACTACAAGGATAAAACAAGTTTCTTATCTCATTAATTTGTTACTTTTCCCCCTTCATCTGTTTGACATGAAAGTGGCTCGTTTCTTTAAACTTCCTAGATATCTGTGCACTTGTTGTATTTCTGCTGGTAATAACAAATGTAGTGTGTGTGATGCTGGTGTATTACAGATGATATCTCTGACTAACTGAAGCTTATAACTTGGACTTTATACTCTGAAGTGTGTGTAAAGCTGCTGGATACTTTAACTGGCTGTGTATTTGTACTGCTCATGACGACCTAGTCTTGTTGATAAAAGTCAAAAATCTTTTTCTACTAACTAATCAAGACTTGGTTGACATGTTAGACCTTAAGTTGCAAGTAGATTGACGCTGTCACTTGCTGGACCACATAAGGATCTGTATGGTTGCTAGAATAATGGTATCTTTTCTTGGTCAATCAAACTCAGTAGGACTGCTTTCCTAAGTTAGCTTTGTTTTGCATGTCTCTTTATGCAATCATGTGACTTTGCTGAACTACACAAGGATATCTGCAGTAGCTTCCTTCTCATTTGTATATTAGAATTATTTTCTTTGCTTAATCATCTATAGATAAATTTACCTTGTAAGTTGGCGATACTAAGAGTTGATGGCAAGATTTTTGTCCACAGGGAATTCACAGGGAAATGTAACCTCTGCCACCTGGAATTTTATTGCAAATGTCTCTCAGGGTAATTGGCAGCGACTTCTAAGAAAATCTATCATGTTAGATAATTACAATACGGTATGAAGTCCATGACATGCCTTATGCATCCAGATTCCAGTTCAATGACAAGGGTTCTATTGACTCATATCCCATTGTACCGGCCAGATTGGACTCCATGCGGTCCATATCGTTCTTCACCCATTATCAATCAGGTTAATATTTTTCTCTCTGCATTGAGTTAAATGGCAATCTTAGAAACATGTTGGTGCAAGTTATCACCTTGCATACATTTTGTTTAGCTAAAAATTACTATCTCTTACTCTGTTCCAGAGGATTTTGCGTGCCCCAGAAAATCAACAAATATTGTAAGCATCTTATTGTGTTCTGCTTCTTTGACTGTATGTGGTGGATTACAGTCCTTCATGGAATGGATGTTGGGGTATGACATGATACTTTTCCTCTGATCTATTAATACAGGTATCAAAATTATGTCACTGAGAAATCGACAAATAACTTACTGAACATGATTAGCCCAGTATGTAAACTCTTCCCTCCTTAATGATCTATCAGAGCTTTGGAAAATCAGACTTCGAAAAAACTAAGCTACTTGAGGGATTCATTCTTGGCGGTACTAATCTGCGTTTGTAAACTTCAGGCACTAATCCTTTCAGGGCATGATCATGATCAGTGCAAAGTAACCCACATCACTAAGCACGGTCCCGTGGAGGAGGTAAGCACTGCATTAACTTGGCAAGATATACTTCCAGTAACAGTGCAACTTTTGATTATTTACATCATGCAGCATACTATAGGGACTATCAGCTGGCAGCAGGGAAACTTGTTCCCTTCTTTTATGCTGTTATCTGCTAGTAATCTCAGCTCTCCAGATGGTTTGGCTCTAGAAGATGTTGTATACGCCCATCTCTGCTTTCTACCTGTTCAAACATACATATACATATGGTAATTCATAGTTAGTTAATACTGCTGCCGTTGGCGTGTAAGTTTTTGTTGGCTTCATTCTGAAACATCATCTGATGAGAATTTCAGGTATATGGTCCTGTTCATCATGACCCTTCTCATTGTTCTCTTTTGGCCTGCAAAAGAGGAATTATTCTCCCATTATATTGGCAATTTCAAGCTATGCTTCAGGAGTCTGTTCGATGGTAGTGTGTTTGGCAGGGTAATAAAAGAGAAAAATGAAGATGAGAACTTTGAGTACGAGATGATGTGGGATGCCGAAGGATCGATGCACCTTATCAAGAAAGCGTCAAAGTCCCCTCCTAAAAGTTCAGGTGACAACGCTTCGGTGGAAAGGTATCATGGGGCCTAGTTGAGGTGCTACGTATTGTCAGTCTATTTCTTACTGTGGGATTATGTTTTGTTATGTTTGCATTCAGCATCTATTATATCTATGCCGGAGCATCTTTTACTCTCTTTTAGAAACTGCAAACTGGCGTATTTAAAATTTTAGACTTTTTAGTATTGCCCACTCTTGCACTCTAGGGAATTTTGCAAATATTTCATCTAACCCCATTATTTGCCTCCCAAAATAAATTTTAACAGCTGCCCCCTTCCCTTTCATTTTCTCTACTTAACATTGAACTTTTCTTATATGTTCACCAAATTATGATCGAACCAAACGTTCATTTGATATTTTGATTGTGTATATTGTATGCTTGTTGTCCACTTACATCAAATAGTAGTAGTTCAGGATTCTGCAACTTACTGCAACTGTACTTAGGGGCAATGCTGTTATGCGGGCGAAAAGACAGACTGAACAGGAAGTAGAGGTCGCCGTGGCTTGTGATGGGAATGTGGAATTTGACGCGAGGACACCAGGACCGGCTCGAATGAAAACATCCATGACAAAATTGGTGATACGGAGACTATTGCGAGGCATCCGCGTGCTTAGCTTTGTTGCTGCAATCAATGTTCCTCTCTACATGATGCTGCTATTCAAAGATTGGGTGGATAAATGATACTGCTACTACTTACAAATACAAGTACCACTAACTCCTGCTTACTACTACTACTACTCAGTATGACAAAATAATTTCGGATTCTTGCACATTTGACATACATTGCATCTTCAACATTTCTGATTTCCAAAAAAAAATTTTGGCGAGTGATCGTCTAAAATCCTCATTGGCATTACTTACTAGCGCTAGGGCTGCCTCAGTCGTTTAATGTCACGACCAGATTTACGAACTCAAGAGTTAGATTCATATAGTGTCATAACTCATGAGAGGTAGCCATAACGTGTAAAATGGAATGACCCCATCTCATACTGCTAATCTCTTAAGTGGAAAGGACAATAAGAAGAACAAAATAGTATCTGACGTTCGACTACTGCGATTAATTTATATGCTCCATACGTCGATGTAAAACGCACAACAGGTATGTTATATGTAGAAGAAGAAGCATTAATATTGTTAAAAAAATAAATAAATAAAATTTCAGATTCTCATAATTAACGTAGTAGTCCATTGATTGATGTTAATTCAAGAACGGCTGCTTCGTACGGAGCAGATTTATTGTAAGGTACAACATAGTACTGTGGAAGTCAAGTAAAAGTACGTACATGGTCTTCTACAAGACAGCCACCACGACGAAGATAGTACCGCAACATTCACATCCATGATCCATCCCTTCTGTGTCTTATTCCACATTTATTGTGCATTAATTAATCATGCTACCATATTTATATATTTGATGGTGTCTGCATCGGCCATAACACTAAAACAATACCGCTTGAACAGAGGGGAGTTACATACATAGATTACTGAAACACATAAATAAGTAATGGCAGACCTTGCAAGCTTCCATCCATCCATCCGAACTTGGCAGGGATCCCCATATGTTGGCCTTGTCCGTGTCCTGATCATGTCCGGGCTGTCAAAAAGCACCAGCCTTGATCTCTCATGTGCCCAAAAAACCTAACAATGGACTATCACCATTTAGGTTTACAAAAAAATACAGGATGACACACATGAAGAAGAGGGCTGATGACAACAAACAAGCCAGACCAGCAGCACCCTATGGACAAAGCCAACAACAGGGAAACAAAGTGGCCGGGGGCGGCCAGGAGGACATATAAATTTTGCTTCCACACGTTTGTAGAACAAATCTTTACCGACAGGCAATTGACGCCTATCAGAAACACACTGCTGCTCGTGCTTGGTTCGAAAACAAGACAAAAGCTAAAGAAGAAAGTAAAGAGAATAAGGCAGAAGAGGTTGGTGGTGCATGGTATCTTTATATATTTTATACGGAGGATGAGGATGGTTTTGGTAGCTCAATCATCTCCCTGGATATACCAGCAGAGGAGCATGGTGGCACAGCGACGTAAGATGTAAATTCGCGCTCTTTGTTCTTTAACCAAAGAAGCGCACTTTCTTGTGAAGCCACCACTGTTCTTTCTCTTTGAACAAGTGTAGAGTACTCCACTTCTGTGCTGTTGCTTGAGCTCGGCCATTGCTGATGATGAGTGTTGGTGGCTAACGAATCAGATGATTGTCAGCTTTCTTGCAAGCGAATCACAGGGAAAAACTGAAAGGACAAAAGAAAAGAAAAAAAAAAAAAGGAAGGAATGCCAAGGGGAAAAAAAGCCCACGAATTGGAGCTAGACCCTGAAGAGGAGAGTAAGTGGAATCCCTGTATTTATACGAAGAAGGTGTTGAGTAGCTTTTGAAGTGGGGGAGTGAACATGGTCATCTTCGAGAACCGAGGGATTTGCATGGAAAGGTGTAGATCATCAGCCAACGGGTAAAGGGGCTGTAAACGTGGGGTTGGATTTTTCTGGATTAAATATTCAAGATGATCAGCACACTGCAATGGGGTAGAAGGGATGATTGTTAACACTGGCGTGTATTTGAGTGCACTTGGATTAGAAAAAGGGGTATAAGTAGCCATGAGAAAAGGAGGATTGCTTGATGAGGACAAGGCAAAGTCGGAGATATGGGAACATGGTGTCGGCCAAGTCATAGGTGGCTTATGGGGCAGATTTAATTGGTTCACAACTGTGGCTCGCAATTCAAGGTCTCTTTCCATTCACTTCATTTTGCTTGCTAGTATAATATACTCCCCGAGTCTTCCTAATTTATACAGCTTCATGTTGAGCCACAAATTTGTTCTGCCAGCCATGCTAGCTGTTTTTCATTCTTCAGCCTCGAGCCGTTGCATTAGTACTGACGGAAGTTACCGGTCTACGGGCATCTTGCATGTACGTACAACTGGAATTGCATCAGCAAATAATTCATTATTCAGCTTCCAAGAACCAGTTGCATTTCTGCGCCGTGGACAAGCATCATATACTAAGCAACTGAAATGCAGATTCAGGCAAATCTTAGCTGCAGTTTCAGATGATTTAGATATGAGTAGGACTTTGAAGTTCACAAGATTGGGCAAATTTTGGCATGTGGATATAGAGATTTGGTGACCCTTATTTCTTATCTTTGTCTGATGAAGCCATCTGTCACGTTCGGGGCAGGTCTTAGGACAACCTCAATCTTCATAGATTCACTTGTTCAACCCTTTAAAATTAATCAAGGGACATATATGGCTCATCTCCCATGATTAATTTAGGTTACAGCTGTAAGCTAATCATCACCATTACATTTTTAATTGGCAGTTCGACCTAGCACAGGTTAACAAATCAAAATACTCTAATAATGAAATAGTGGACATCCAATCCTTTCGAGTAAGAAATGTTAAGCAAGCATTTCTTGGTTTTTCGAATTGACATAATTCAATGGACGATGGTTTAGCAATTAGTAATACACAACTCTTATAGACTAATAAATTTTTTTTTTTTTTTTTTTTTGGGGTGGTTCGGAAGATAGACTATAGTTTTACTTGCTTTCCTCTCTCTGTCTCCAAATTCCACCAACCAATGATCAATAACTTGCAGGTTGCCATGAATGTTCTCAATAACAGTGAATCCCTGTAATAACAGTGGCAAGGTGGAGCAAGTTGAGTCATCTCCTTAGCCTCGTTAGCTTGTAATTGATAATCGACAAGGATACGTTGTACTAGTAGAACACAAAAATTCGTGAAAAAACTGATTTTTCTTTCTTGTGCGGTCGGTGATTTGCAGTGTATCCATTGGTTCTTGAAAGACGAAACAGAAGTTGTAACATCTGATTGTGCCGTGTGTCACTATCTCCAGGATGCTAATTAAAGAGGGCCGTACGTGCTTCGTTCTAACACTTTGGATATTGGTTTTGCATCTCCGAAACCATCCTTCATAAGTGATGATCGATCTTCTAAATATGATTAAGAATAGTGCTAATTACACCTGTTGATTGACTAATCGCGTACGTACTAAAAGAATAGGCTGTCAGTCATGATTCCCGAGAAGCTGGAGCACTGAACAAAGCCTAACAGGCTGGAATTAACAAGTGCACAATTGGGCCCATAGGTCGGACAGGACAAAGGGAGCAGGAGCCTCCAAGCGTCCTATCCGATCTACGAACATTCCCATATCTTTGGATTCATTCCCCCGTTTCATCAGCTTCTCTCTTTTCTTTTCTTTTTTTTAAGTGTTGATAATGGTCCAAATACAGCTAGTGTATGTCGAAGCTCCAAATTTGCAGCAAAAGCAAGCGCTCCTAATCTGACGCTTTAAGCAAGCAGCTGTCAACGGCTGAATGGAGGACTTGAATGGCCCCCCACAAGTACAACGCGGTGTTCTTGACTGAGTTGCCTTGGTCATTTTGCAGAGAAGGAACACTTCCATGTAAGCACAGTTTTAAAAACCCAGTTTACAACTTACTTATTCTCTCAATTCGTTTTGCTGCCCGGTTGAAATAAGTAAATGAATGGACAAAAGTTGCCCGCAGAATTACTTCCACTTTTCATTGAGCTGATTATCTATTGAAATCTCATCTATGGTTGCGATTCTTTTGCCCTGGTGGTCATCACCAAATATTATTGCTTATTCTTACATCCTACATCAAGGGGATTAAACACGAAGGTATTAGCATACGAGTCCAAAGGATCTTAAGCCATAAATATCATATTATCACATTGCAGTTATCATATTACCACTAGATTAGAGCAAAACATTGCAGCAACTTCATGATTTAAGTCTTTATTTTTATTTCCTCATTAAACTATTTACTTTTAGTCTCATTGAATCTTATGTGACCATCCACCTTTTGGTTGAGTGATGATTGGCATTAAACTATGAGGTAAAGATGCAAAAGTTGTATTTATAGAGAGAAAAATATAAGAATGACTTGTTTTATTTTATGACGTGACACCGCTTCCAAATAAAGACAATGGCCTGTGCGAATATTCGCACAGGGTTGAATCTAATTTGTGATATATTATCAGCCTGCCCCAGTCACCTATCCACTTTTCCCAGTATACTTGTCGAAGAATATCGCCCCAATTATCAGCTTTTGTATTTGTCAGGCAGTGCTTGCCTCGGGTACCCTCTTCTCAATGCGGGCAAGAAGCAACTCACTATCCTGCAAAACATACAGGTATTGCATGGTTTAAAAGGTCGGCGGAGAGAGACAGAAAAGCATATTACTCACTATCCTGCAAAACATACAGGTATTGCATGGTTTAAAAGGTCGGCAGAGAGAGACAGAAAAGCATATTAATTTAAAGCAGTAAGGCATCCCTTTCTTCCATTCTTTGCTTCTGCTCCATGTTTCGATACTCCCTCCAAACACGATTAATTTCTAGTAGTCAATTCACAAAATTCAGGCACTTCATAAGCTTCCTCTCGATTATGCTAGAACGAAAAATATGTTAACCACGCCATATAGATGAAACAAGCCCATCCCCACCAGACAGATAGCAGTAAGCAAGCATTTGTGCAATATTCAATAATATTCAGGATTTTAGTTCTGCTGGAACTGTTGATCATGCTTGATATTCCTTTCTCCAGAGATTACTAGAAACCCACCTCACTTCCTCGATCCAAATGTCACAAATTTGACTGTAACAATGGCCAAGACAAAGGTAATTCATAATGGTGGTTGACTTGGTGGCTTCCTCAGGCCATTGTAAGTTGTATAAAACAAGGGGGATGGGATGTTCAATATCCCGAGTCACACACCTGATGCTTTGAACTCTAGATAGAGCATAATAATTCTCTGACTACCTCAAGCTGCAGATATCACAGCATAACCTAAAATTTGCATGATGTAGGTACTCTATCATGCCATACAACAGTGTGTGCATCACTGCAGGTATATATATTGGACCAGTGAAATATCACCTGTACAATTGCTTGTGCACAAAGCTTTCCTGAAAGAACGGCACCTTCCATTGAAGCCAAATACTTCTGTTTTGTATAGTCACCAGCTAAATAGAACCCTTGAACTGGAGATCTTTGCAACGGACGAGAGGGTTCAGTTCCGGGCACAGTTTTATAAACTGACCTAGAAAAAGAAAAGCTCCATTTTCATTTTCAGAGGTCAATAATAAAATGACTGCAGAATTCTGAATCTCAATGAAATTCAAATTTCAGGTGCTTTATAGGTTGACAAGGCATAAAATGAATTTTGAGGTACGGTGAGCCAAATTGTTATGAAAAGTTATTGCTACAAAGCTATATTTCATGGACATGATCCAGCGCATTACCATTACAAAGAGGACCGTTCACATTCTCAACATTCCAGCGGACTTGAGCAAAACGTATTATATCATTGTTTCCAATTTTCTATAATAGCAAGGAATAGAAAGACAAAAAAGTCACCTTGGAGTTTTTACAATATGGTATTTCAAGAGTTTTGCTTTGCTCTGATCAGCAGCAATTTCATCAGGAAATAATTTTGCAAGTTCCTTCATTGTAGCATCAATAATTTCCTCATCACTTTGTGATATCCATTCTTCTGCAGGTGCAAAAACTAGCTCCAACATTGATTGGTTTGGACTGTAATATTCCTGCATAAATTTTACTTTTGTGTTTAAGGGTAGCTTAAAGATAGCTCCTCTGACCATAGTCGTCACAAATTGTTGTGAACAAAGCATATCAAGTTGCAGCCCAAAGATACAACTTCCCAAGCACCGATATACAAATAAATAAATAAATAAAGAGAGGCTAGAATAATTAATAGCAACAAGAACCAGTTTCTAACTGAAACTGTTTAGATGCGCTAAAAGCTTCCAACAATTTGAGATGAATTTTTGACTTTGAGTAGAATTTGCTTTAGCCCAATGATTTAACTCTAGGGTACCTGCCTTAAAAGAACTCTGGGTCATACCCGGACTTTCTTTCTCTAAACTATTACATGGTGAGGTATGCCAACTTGCTTATTTTTCAGTGTAATATACCTTACATCCATGCACAAAATAAGATTTCTCTGTCATGTGATTTGGAAATTTTAAGCAAATGACTTTGCTGCCTTGCTGATGGGAGGAAGAAAAAAAAAAAAAACTAAATTGAGAGCCAATACAAGTATATTACATTATGAATCTTAAACAGTGTACAGGGAATACCTTACACGTCACAGACATGTCGGCATACACACTAAGAAGTGGACTTCTGCAAGAGAAAGAAGGTTGGTTCAGGAAACAAGTCATATAGCATAGGATGGGACTTGAAACTGGGGCAACGT